GTTTCTGGGCTGCCAGCGCACGTTGCTGGATCACGTTGAGCTTCTCACCCCCTAGCACCCCCAAGTCCCATCCTACCATCCTGTTCTGCAACAATGGTTAAATGTAAAAAAATAGCCCTCAACCCCTGCTACCCATGGAGGCCATGGTGAGAGAAGCCATTGGTTCTTCCATGAGACAGGTGACATTGGAGAGCACAGTAATGGAGAGCTACAAATAAATAAAGGAGACAGGGCAGAGCATCGGTGCAGCCTGTGCTGAAGTGAGCAGCTCCGGACCATAGGGAACAGCATGAAAAGGATGCAGCTGAATGCCCCCGGCTTGTGGAAGGACAAGGGACAAGTGGAACGTGCTGGCTGGGGACAACCTGCAGCATCCCAGCATCTGGCACCACATCCCCTTCAACTCCAGCATCCTGCCACACAAGGATGGAGGCGAGAGGCGGCAGGTCCCTGACTGTGCATCCAGGGGCAGTTCTTGCCCCCTCCCAGCTCAAACCCACGTCAAGACCCCTGGCAGGGTGTTTCCAGAGGAAGTCACAGACATACTGACATCTAAGATAAGTGGCTTCTTAAGCCAGCGGTGCGTCAAGAGGTTGAGGCAGAAGATTAGTGATCAAGCTCTCCTTCCACTGATGGGAACGCAGGGATGCAGCCTGTGGTCCAGACACCAGCATCTCCCCAGAAGATGCAGGAGGAGGGACAAGGACAGCCTCAGTGTCCCCTTTGCACTGTCAAGAGGTACCACGTGGGCACCTCTCCTCCCAGCCGTGGGCTCTTGGGAGACCAGCCACCAAGAGGTGTCTGCAGTGTGTGCTGGCTTCACACAGCCCAGCGGAGCCTGGCTGCCAGGAGGAGACAACCCCGTGGCTCATTCAGCACAAACTCATTATTTAATAGACAAAGTAAATATGAAAAAAAAAAAAAAAAGACATTTTCCCCCCTTCTGGTGCTGAAATTTACAGCTGTGAGAAGAGGCAGAGTGCTGTGGAGCCGGGGTATCTCCGGGTGACATTTACAGGGCTCAGCTTTCATCACAGCTTGAAAACAACTCCGTGCTCAGAGATTATCTCCACACTGATCTGGATTGTCTTGTTCGGCTTTGGCCCTCATCCTAGATGGACAACGAGCAGAAAACTTGGCCAGTGGCCTGAGGTCTGTGGCCTCCCCTGCATGAGAGGAGAAGAGGAGGAACAGTCTCCAAGGTACTTGATAACTTGCAGCCTTGGGGGGCCAAAGAGATGGAGCTGGGAGGGACACAAACCTTAGTTCCCCCCGATGATTTAATCCTGCACCCTTGGCCAACTGAGCCATCAGGAGAGGCAATCCCACTCCGGTGTGCCGTGGAGTGGATCAGCCGATGGTGGCTCCACCTCGGAGTCCCCGCATGGTTAGTCCCCTCGCCGTGGGGCTGAAACCCCTTTGCTGAAGGTTTTTTGGAGCTGGGGCTGAGCAGGCAGGAGGGAGGCAGCCAGAGGGTACTGGGAGGATGCCTCAGCACAAACCTCGCTCGCCCTGCGCTGCTTCGAGTCGGTTGTCAGCAGCCTTCCAGCCGGACGGTGTCTGGAGACCTTCCAGCGACCACAGCCTCTCCCCCAGCCCATCACTGCCACAGCCCAGATGGGATTTAACGGATGTCTGCATGTTCCCCCCAACCTTTCCCCTCTCAAGATGAAGCAAGGAAGAAAAACAAGACTGCAGGTTTGCAAGGACCCCCTCCTCCAGCCCAGAGGGTGATGCTCGCAGCTCCAGGCTTTTCTGGACCATGCCGGGAGCTCACAGCTCACACGGGAGGGCTGGGCAATGCCACCCCGCGCCGGTTCCTCGCCGCGCCGCAGGCAGATGTTCCTGTTGGCTCGAGGTGCCATTTCGAGGGTTTTTCTCTGTTCCCTTTTTGCCTCTCGCCTCGCAGACAAGTGGGTGAGGGAAGAGAGGAACTGGTTTGCTTTCCACCTCCCCTCGCAGTGCCCCTCTGCTTATTAGTTCTCCAAATATTTCGTCCTGCAGCCCGGCAGCGAGGACTCTGCACTAACCCAATCCCAGGCGGAGGGGAAGCTGGGGTGGGCAGGACAGCGCGTTATCCTCGTGGCATTGCTCCAGGCGAGCCCGGGGGGAGTGAGACGGGGCAGCTGGGGCCCTGCTGCACTAAGTCCTGGTGGTCGGGGCACCCACGGCAGCATCCCGCGGGCTCAGCAGAGCATGAGTGTTGCTTTTACCCCCCAGCAGCATCTTTCCCCAACCCCCGACAGTTGCTCCACTTCATACTTTTTCTTTTCTCGGTAGCCAACGGGATGGGGACTGTCCCCAGTGTCCTCGCTAGAGGTGAGGAACAGCTGTGGGGAGGAAGAAGAGACTTGGTTGTGGGATGCTGATGAACAAGGTGGGGGCAATTATGGGACAGAGGAACAGAAATCCCCTGGGATTTCTTCCCATCAGCTCTTGGCTCCATGAAGAGTCATTGGATTGCGGGTACCATGGACCCTCTTCACTGTCTGCAGCTGAACAAGATGCTGGAGAAGTGAGGGGGGAAGGGGGCTTGCAAAGGGAAGGGGGCATGACGGGAACATTGTCCCCTCCAGCATCCCTGGGATGCTGCTGAGGAGCTTCTGTAAATCAGAGCAGCCACTGGAGCTGCTCTAAAACCCATCCAACGGCCAGGAGGCCATTGAGCATCCCACAACAAGGGGATGCAGGAATGTCCCATGTCCCCCTTATGTACTGATCACCCTGGCTGGGCTCTCCCTCATTGAGCTTAACTCCTGGGGACGCTGCCACCTTGTCCCCATCCGCCCATCCTCTGCACTGCACCAGGCTGTACGTGCTGGCTGCGCTCCATCCCCTCCCGAGGCTCAGCCAAGGCAAGCAATGCTCTGGGATGCTCAGCACATGCCTTAAACAAATAAAAATAACTGCGACAGAAGACACCGAGTGCCTAATGCTAGTCTCAGCTTAAACACCTTGCATTTGCGATGCTCCGGAGTCAGCAGGAGCTCATCTGATGAGAACAGGCATCACACAGGTGCCGAGAGCAGCCCCGTCCCTGCTGGCACAGGGGCTCTGGCTTCAGCAATAGATAAAGCAAGCAAACAAAAGAAAATAAAAAAAGCCAACAATGCTCAATTTTTTTTAAACTTTAAATATTTTTTTTTCTTTTAAAATCTGTTTTCCTCTGGGGCTCTGTCTCTGTAAAGAGCTGCGCTCTCCCTGCAGCGTCCGGGTTCCTTCCTCAGTCCTGGCTGTGGCGCAAGGGAGAAGCAGGGTCAGTAAGAGAGGGGGTCGGATGGGCGCTCCCCTCCCTGCATCACCGGCACGTATGGATTTCCACCACCCGATGGCAGGGTTTGCACTTGACGGAGCAGCACCAGTGGAATTTGCAGCTGCACCTTTCCACAACCTCCACTTCGTCCGTATGAAAGCCCCGGCCGCAGCACATCAGCTCGCAGCCATCGATAGCCTTGGAGGTCTTGTTGCACTGCCGGCCGCTGGTGCCCAACACCCCGTTCTTGAGGTCATGGTCGCAGAAGTCGGGACTGGAGTCCAGGTAGACGAGGTCCTCGTCCGTGTGTGGCTTGAACTGGGAGTTTTTGGGCACCAGCACTTTGGTGGATCCGATCTCGCTCTGCTCGACCTCGGTGGCACCGTCAAATTTCTCCTTCAGGACGTTGCCCACTTTGCGGAAGGGGGGCATGGCTTTCCAGCACGTCTTGAACTCGCACGAGCCCGACACGCCGTGACACTTGCACTCCACCCGCATGTTGTTCAGGATGGCCTGGAGGAACAGACGCAAGAAACGAGACGGGACGGTCATTGCGGGATGGACACAGCAGGAAGGGCGCAACGTACGGGGCTGGAAGGGTTGCGCAGAAAGCGATGCTGCTGCACGCGAGTTGGCGAGATTAAATGAAGCCAAATGGGCTCGAGTGATGGCTGCAGAGCTGCGCCCACTGCCTCGGTTTCCCCCTCACCCTTACCTTCCTCCCGGCCTCGTTGTTGTGGAGGTTCATTAATGCCCTGTTGGAAGAAGCCCCTTTGCTCCTCTCCCGGACGTCAACGAAGGACTGCGAGAAGGCCACGCCGTAGGCAATGTTATCGGAGCAGCCCGACCACTGGAAGCCTAAGGCAGAGAGCACGGATGAGACAGATTACAGCCAACCTGCTTCCTTGTCCTCTCCAGCCCTGCTCTTCCCAAAATACAGCTGACCTGCCCCCCTTCTGTCTTGCTGCCCTGGGGACTGGGGAAGCTGGGGAATGTGGCCCTGGGGTTGGGACAAGGACAAGATGCTTTCTCTGCCCCATGGGTGATGCTCCCAGATGCCTTTTTGAGGGACTCATCTGGACTAACAGGAAGGTTTGGGTTGGTGTTTTTATATGTATATATATTTTTTTTAATGATTTTTTTTTTCCTCCATTCTGGAGGGCTCCAGA